GGGGGGGGGGGTTATGGGCTAAGACTGAAGCGCTGTGGCTCACCCTATAGGTCCCCTCTAGTGGAAATGAAACGGGTTTCGCGAGGAAAAGCAGAATTGACGAGGTGTTAATAAGCTTATTAAGAAGCCACACAGTGGAGGGGCGGACAGCTCAAGGCTGCGCGGGGCGACGGGAGCGGCAGGCGACGCCCACCATCGCCGCGGCAATGCGGCATTTCCTCGTGGTCACCAATGAGAGGGACAGAAACTGTCGCGATTGGCGGAGCTCGTCCACGAGCACAGAGAGGAGGCTGCGACTGGCATCACTGAGAGATTTCGGGGTGAAAGCCGAACTGGCAAATGCGCACTGCCGCTAATGTTTGAGTTGTTTCGTCGCATGACGCGCGGCTTCCCTGTGCAGGGCGAGGGCCGTAGGGCCGCAGCGCCGGCCGCGCCACTCCGCGAGGAAATAACCACTTTTTGATAGAGAGGTGGAACCGCGCTGCCGGGCCGGCCTGCGGGGATCAAAGTCCGCGAGGCACACGGCTGGCGTGGCGGGGCGTGTCCGGGCCCGGGCGTGGCCAGGTGGGGCGGGCCGGGCGGGGCGCCCCGTTTTGTTGCAACAATACAGCGAGTGAAGTGATGCGTGCGACTGCAGCCCGGTCAGCCCGGCCCAGCCCGGCCCAGCCAGCACCGCGCCGGCGCGGCGGGGGAAAGGCGGAGCGACCGCGGCCGCAGCCCCGCCGGCCTGCCGATACAACCGTGGCGACGCCGCCGACGCCCTGCTGGCCGATGAATGACGACCAGCGTCGCGGTGCCGCCGGCCCGGGGGGTGTCCCTAGATCGCTCGCCCAGTGGCTTCCGGTCCGCGCCACGCAGCCCCGTTGTGTTGTAGGCTATTGAGAAACGAAACGGGCGGCGGCGGCGGCGTCCACCGAAATCGATGCGGCCTCGGCGTGGCGGACTGCGCCCGTGCTGCTCGAGTCCACTCTGCAGTGCAGAGACTGGACTGGGTCTGCATCTGCAGTGCAGAGACTGGGGCGGGCCCTGTGGCCGGCCAGGCTGAGCCCTGAGCCTGCGATGCCACCCATCCCCAGGGGGTCCACTCAGCAGTGCAGTGACTGGGGCGTGGCAGGCCGGCCGCCGCTGGTCCGCGGGGGAGAGATCTCGTTACCCGCCCCGCAGCAAACGCCATGCATGATCCGATATGAAATGCGCTTAAGGAGATGGCATGTCGCCACGGCGCGCCCACTGCTTGCAAACACGGGGCATACACACGGGCCGCACGCGGAGGTGGACGAGGAGGAGATGACGGAGAAGGACGCGGTCTCCTCCAAGCTCACCTCTAATTGTAGGCGGCTCGGCACTCTGTACTTTACGTAACGCGTCCAGTCAGTCGACGCGCACAGCGCCGCCGGCCGCCGGCCTGCTGGCGCTGGCCCGGCTCGCCCGGCACCGCCGCGCCGCGCTGCGCCCTGCGAGCCTAGCCTGGCGCTTGACCTCACCTGTCGACTCCTCTCCTCGTCGCCCTGCAGGCTGGCCTGTCTTGTCCGCCCGCCTGATAGCCGGCCCGCCCGAGGGCGGCCCCAAGGCGCGGGGAGCTGCGCTTCCAGGTCGCTCTAGAATCCCCACAAGTTCCCCGCTATAACCTTGGGCGCCCGCGGGGCCGCGTGCCTAGAGGCGTGCCGGGCGCGAGCGCACACGCACACGCCATCGCACCGTGCATTACCCAACTGGGGTATCGCATCGCGCGGATGTACCGACCAGAAAATTGTTACTCTGGAACTTTATGTTTTCAGCTTCCTCCGTTTCCGGAGCGGCATGGAAACGGAAGCGGCGGCGCAGCAAGCATGCGAAATAGAGAGGGAGAGGGGCAGTGAAAGGTCTCTTAAAGGGCACGCGATCCTCGAGGACCCCCGGCCGGCCGACATTCAGGACCCGCGTCCCGGTGAAGGTACCTTAAGGTATACTTTGCGACGGAATGGCGCTCATCACGAGACCTTAGTGCTTCTACGGCGGGCGCCTCACGTCGGGAGAGCGACTTGTTCCCCCCGGCCCGGGCCGACGACGAGCCCTCTGCGGCCCTGGCCTTGGCTGACGGTGGCGGCAGTGACCCCCGCGGCACGTCCGCAGGGCCGGGCCAAGCCGGGCCGGGCGAGGGGTGGCGGGCGGGGCGGGGGACGTTAACCGGTTCATGACATAACATGAAGACGAATTTCATGGGAAGAGAGATGGAAGAAGAGATCCCCGCGGCGGAACCACTAAGGCAGCATCTCTCATGGATGCAGGCAGAGGCAGCCCAACAGGGCGAGAAGTGCGCCGAGTGGGAAGTCGGGCGATTTGGACAGAAGATAGTTTAATGGAATCGCCCGGGTTTCGTGGTGAGGGCTGTCCGCCCACCTGGGCGAAAATGGAGATGAGATAACGCGATTTAACTCGGTGATCTTCGCGATGCCTCGCAAGCAAGTGTGTTGTTACCTAACAGCGAGGCTGGACAAGAACTATCGGAGGCGCGGTCCGCTTGGGTGTTGGGATGTCACTGACTCACCAGCTAAAGTAGCTTGGACGAGGAGAGGCTGGGCAACTTCATCTAAAACGTAGCCTCATCAGGTATACATCCGTATTTATCTTACACCAAAATGAAATAACAAAAGAAATAACA